TCTCTAATCTCCGACGAAGAAAAAGATTTGTATGGCAACCAGATCGAAGAGTTTTCAGTTGATCACAGGCACAAAGAACCACCTCCTCAACGCCGTTTTCCCACGCGCTTCCTCACGCGCCACCGTTTCCGCCGCTGCTCCGTTCACTTCACGGTATCAAACACTATCTTTATGTCTATTATTGATCTTATCGTGGCGATATTTATTTTTCCCAATATGGTATATTTGTCTTGATTATAATGAAACTGATAGAAACATTTTTTTTTTTGACGTCAAACAACATATTTTGGTGTTTGATTATAGGGAAATTGGGTTCAATAACTATTAAAAAAATTATAACCTACTAAATAACCAAATCTCCTAAATCCAATGATCACAAGATTACCATATATGCCATTTTTTTTACTAGATTTTGAATTATAATTTTTTTTTTGGTTATTCACCTGATTATATATCTCTTTTGTGTATTATTAATTTACTCGTTGGTCCAACCATTTTTTTTCTCCTTCCACTTCGTTATTCAAGATACTATACCTAGATCTAGAAAGTTCAAATATACGATTTTTTAGGGACTACAGATTCAGATCAAGTATATATATTATAACATTTCTTTATTTTATATTTTTTAATGTCATATATTTGGTCATTTTGAACAAAATGAATTGATCTGAAAAGAATCGTGTGAAATGTTAAAAAGTTTTCAATTAAAAATTTATAAATATTAATTACGTTTTCTTTGAAATAAAGATATTCCTACAGAAAGCAGAAGCAATGTACACTGTACTGTTTACGAAAAGGCATATGCCATTTGGCGTAAATGGATAATACCATAACAAAATCCGTTTCGGATTTGACACGTGGCATAATTAAAGTAACCTTCTTGTAGACTAGTAGTAGCACTTTTTGAATAGTTCACTCGACCCAAAACTGAAAAGTATAAACCAAATAATGATTTTTTTCATCTTTAATTCCAAGTTTTGTTTCGGTTCGATATGAGATGAGTAGACGTGAGGTGGCTGATTATCTACTATCGTTGAGATTACGATAAGAATTGGACCGACAGATTTGAAGATGTAATAAATTGATAGAAACATCGACGATGACATATTTGACATTACTTGATTCATATTTATATTATATATTTATACAAAAGACTTTTTCGGGTCACTTTTTTAAGCGTAAAACTTTCCATCTTTAATAATTATATGCCAAAGACCAGAGAAAAATTCTTTAATAAAAGACCATCTTTGTAAGAAATCATTCTTTATGGGTATTTTATGGTGGCAATGTCTCACCTACCCAAGCAACAATCTCCCACCCAACTGGAAAATTGTTTTTATTTCCTTTATATTTTAATAAGTTGATATTGAACATTTAAATATTAATGTTTTCAACAGTAGGAGTGGTCATTCCTCGGCCTATGACAAGAACGTGGAGGATGAATTGCAGGCAAGTGCAGTACCTGATGAAATCATAAAGCCAGATTCTGATAAATATTGGTCGCCTCATCCTCAAACCGGAGTTTTCGGTCCCTCGACGACCGATCACAGTCCCGCTGCAGACGCTGCACGCCAGGACTCGGCGGTACTGGAGGAGACTGCTTGGTTTCGTCCGATAAGTCTCGAGGACTCGGACAAGACTCACCATGTCTAAAGTCTCTCTATCTACTTCGGTTTGTTGCTTCTTTTCTTCTGATATAATGGTGTAATAAAAAAACTCTTTAAGTAGACAAACTGTATGTCAAGTAGTGTGTCCTGAAAAAACTTCCAAGTTCTGTGATATGTCGGAACGTTTATGTTTAACAGTTTAAGTGAAGTTGTTGGTGGGTGTAAAATCGAACATAAACAAAACTAAATTGATCTATATCAAGTTTGGTTTCAATTTGGTAAGTCATTTTTAATCAAATCCAAAATCAACCAAACAAAGCTGATCTCAAACCCGAACCGGTAAGATAATTAGCCAGGGAAGATTCACAAATCAAATAAACGTAAAAAACTCTTCAAGGCTAATAAAACTAAAAGCTAGGACTAAATCAAAGATACATGAAAGCTATCTCACGAGAGAGAAAAATATACACAACGAATCAGTGGTATATCGTTCTAATTCTTCACCGATCTTTACCAATGGGTAAACCAGAGTCTCCCTACAACTAAAAATTCCCTCAGAATCATCACATAATTAAAAGCCTGATGGTTGCTCAAAAAGACCCATCACCCCCAGAGTTTAATTTATAATCCCCTAAACGTGATTCTCAATCTACGAAAACCAGAGAGAAGAAATAATTATATGTTTTTGTACCTGTAAATCTTGTTTTCACTTGAGTCGAGCTCTTGCTATCGATCTCTTCTTCTCTCGCTAAAGGCTTTCGAGGTTGGCTTTGATGGCGGTCTATTTATCTTCTCGAGTAATCTGCTAAATACTAGTTTGACCGGTATGCAGGCCACGGTTGGTGGTCCTGGTAATACCCGTCTGTTAGAGAGCTCATGTGTCCGGTCCCTAAACGCCTTCATCCCGTTGTGTCCTTGTTCACTGCTAAATGATGATAATGCCCTTGTCTTTTGACTAGCAGTTGCGTTTGTGTTCTTCAGCAACTTCCTT